GTTAGTCTTTACTCTTTATTGCTTACTCTTTGAATTGTTAAATGTTCAGGTTTTTTATTTTATTTTTGGAATTTTAAGGTTAATTCCTTTAATTTTGACATTTTTCATGTATTTTTTTCTTTTTTTTTTAATTTCAGTTATTTTTGGGATGACCCAAATTGATCCATGGGTCAACCCTAACCTAAACATTTAGAATTAGGGTCCAGCATTTGATGACCTAACCTGAAATTAACCTGAAGTGCCTTGACCCAACCTGAACCCGACCCACCCAACCCAAATGCTAGGTCTAGTGAAAACCACCTAATTTAATGGACATTCCTTGAAGCCCAAGGAAAGTTCAAGGATCACCACACCACACACCAGATGGGAATCAGAATGGTCTATTCTCCTACCTGTTTGGCTCAAATAGGAATCAAAATCAGAATCCAAATTAGTTGCTTGAAATAGATTTTCTTTTCCAAGGAAAGAGGAGGGAACGACCATTCTATCAAATGGAGAAATTCCATTCCACCAAGAATGAAAAATCAGATTTTAATATTATCCAACCAAACAGTTGAATCACTGATTAATGAATTCTGGACCCCTGTTCCACCGAACCAAGCAACCCTAATTTCATGGGTTTCAATTGCGTCTGGATGCCCGTAGGCCCCATACCTCCAAAAAGTGTTAGGTTTGGACCTTCGGTCACAACCTTGATTCTAAAGCCACCCTAGCAAATAGACCGTTATTTGGCTCTTGGACCAATTTAGACCCGATATTTATATGGACCAAGGGAGTTTTTGGTATAATGGCGTTGTGTTACAATTATATTTTGGGTTAATCAATACAAACTTATAAAAAATGTATTGCCACATAGAATGACAACACAACACCACCAATCTAAAACCTTTTCAGAAATCTGAAATCTCTCACACAAATTCGCATGATTTTTAAAAACGAACTGGTCAGGTGACCAATTTCTGGTTAAACGGTTCAACCGTCTGAGTTGAATGGTTCGACCCGTGATGTCATAAATAAATTAAAAATAAAAAATATTTATAAATAATAAAAAATTGTATAAAATTAAATAAAAAATAAAAAATATAGAAAATAAAACTATCTAAATAAAAAATAATACAATACAAAATACATAAAAAATATAAAAATAAAATACAAAAAAATTCAGAAAAAAATAGAAAAATAAAACAAAAAATTGCAAAAAATACAGAAAAAAAACTCTAGAATGTTAAGTTTTATAATGCAAAAATCCTTGACCTAAAATAAAGATTCACAAAGATAGATTCCCCTATCACCAAAATAAAAGGGGAGAAATATGAGCATTCATTCTAGAATGTTAGATTGCTATGCAACCAAGATTGATTTGTAAAATACTTCAATACACATTAATTTTACCTAATTGATCAAAAAAATTACACTAATTTTGACCTGGAAGTGCTGCAAACTCGTCTGCCGTAAAGCCTGGAAGTGTTGCAAATTGCAAAAAACACTAGTCGTCGCCAGTTGCCGTTAATTGCGGTTACTCGGTGTGTGTTGCCATCAAACATCGGAGGTGCTGGCCGCCATTGCAAACTCGCCTGTCGCAAAGCCTGGAAGTGATGCAAATCACAAAAAATGCTGGCCGCCGCTGCAAACTCGCCGTTGCCAATCGCGGTCAGTCGGTATGTGTCACCGTCGAACGCCGGAGGTGCTGGCCGCTGCAGGTGGTCGGTTGGGTGTGAGGGATGGCCGCCGCTGCAAACTCACTTGCCGCAAAAGCGTGGAAGTGCTGCAAATCACAAAAAACGTTGGCCGCCGCTGCAAACTCACCATCGCCGGTCGCTGTTAATTACTGTCAGTCAAATGTGTATCACTGTCGAACGCTGGAGGTACTGGCCACCGCAGGTGGTCGTTTGGGTGTGAGGGTTGAGAGGAGGGAAGAACGAAAATGGGGTTCTAACCCTACATTCGATTAATTGATTTGGGATGGGGATATTAAAGGAATTTTATTTTTTGTTTTTTATTTTATTTAAAATATTGAAAATAAAAAAGAAAACCCATGAACCGCTCGCTACCCGAGTTAAACAGTTTAACGGTCTGATCGCCCGGGTTAACGGTTTTTTGACTTTTTTAATGGTTTTTAAAGATTTCTGATTTTTAGTGTAACCGGACCCAAAGGCCTGAGCGGTTACTGGTTTTTCCGGTCCGACCATCCGGTCCGGTCCGCTTTTGAAAACCATGCAAATTCGTATTAATCAACGCAAAATACAATGACAACACAACACCATATTGTACCAAACACCGCCCAAATTTATTACTCAGGATCTCGCACGGCATATAATAAGAATAACTACTCACCGATCCTGGAGAGTAGAGGCAACCGCCCCAAACCACGTGGAATTTCTGCTGACTTCTTCCAGCCTTCCACGTACCCTTTCTTGTTGTTTGACATTTTACTCTTTTAGAAAAATTTTCAAACTATTAGATCATATTTAATAGTTTATACATTATTATTTAATACAATTTGTTGGTTAATTCGCCATATACCTCCAACTTTATCTGGGAACGGTGTTTTATGGGTCATACTCATCATTCTTTCTTTATGCATAGTCTATGCTTTTATGTATTTTGGGTATAATCCTATTTCTCGGGCTAATAATAAAAGCTTCTCACTGCCCCTCCTGGAGTCATTTTTATTTCACCAAATTATGTCTTACGCATCCATTCCCGTGGATCCGTACAAACTCCAATAAGAGGCATTAAAAGCAAACGAACATGTTTTAAAGCACAAAAAGTGATTATTATAAAGATAAAGTACTTTGTACTTGGAGAGTAAGGATATTTAAGGGACTCAACTTTTAAATGTGACACTTGAACTTTCAAAATTAAATATACAAGGCCTGCATTAGTATTCCCTTAGTTATCTGCAAAAATGTCATATGTAACATTTTAATTTTTCAAAATATGAGATTGCTTCAAGAGGGATTATTCGTACCATGATTTTCAAAACCGGATCAGATTGGAATGTCAGATTGGAAAAATCAGGAATCGGTTAGATGATTGGTTCCGTTTTTCCTTAAAATCGGATTTTCTCTAAAAAATATTGATTTTGGTCAGCAAATTGCTGATTTGGGTGGTTAATCGTTCGAATTGTTTTGACCGTTTTTTATTTTTTTTGTCAGAATGGATTCTTGACCGGTTTGTTTTTCAGGTCGGTTTTAAAAACCATACCCCATACTGAATTCACAGCTACATTCCATTGTGTACTGCGAACATCTCCCAAAGAATATTAAATACAAGTATGAGAGATGTTCTCGATGTACGACCAAGATATATTGTGAGGATGGTGACACGAGTGCTTTGTGAGGAGATGATTCAGACTCCTTTATTTCAAATGTGATGTTGATGTAACACTATTTTTTGAGGAAACACCCACCCAGGGTACTAAACATGCCCTTGATGTGTGGGTTTTCACCTTTACCATTCGCTTCAAATTTTCTTTCCTTTGAAACTTCAATAATGAGTGAAAACTACTGATGCTACTATGTCACAGTTACAAAATACACATTGCAAAAAAAGTGGAATCCCTTCACCGACTGCATTCATGATGATCACATCTTCCTCCCTCTCGCTTAATTACTAGAAAATCTTCTTCCATTTTTTCGAAAGTCAGGAAATCTTATTCAGGACAAACATCTCTTAATCGAAAGCTTTCACTTATGTTGGATTTGTGCGCTATATATAGGTGATAAGTGGGTCCTAACAATTGACCCTCTCATGCAAGATTCAATGTATTGGTATGTATTCAAGAATAAAGTCAATATATCACTCAAAAGTGGTCACATGTCTTAATTCCTTGAGTTTGAGGTATTAGTGACCCTAAAAATCGATATCATTAGCGATGGTTTGGGATAAGATCTGTTTGTTTGTATTTTGTAACACAATTTTATTTAGGGAAAATTCTCGATAGGTATCCTGTATTTTAGGTTGAGTGTCAATTTAGTACTCGAACTTTAAAATGCGACAATCTAGTATTCGAACTTTTGAAATGCGACAATTTAGTACCTATCGTTAATGGACCGTCAGTTATGTATATTATATGACCTCATATGCGATTTAATATTTTTAAAATGTCAAAATTACCCTTAAAATAAAATACATTGTTCATTATCTTCTTTCTTACGAAAATAAAATAGATCTCAAGCTCTCAAAAGTCCAGACAAAAACCGAAGAGTGCTTGTCGCTCGCTATCCTCTGCCCGAACTGTAAACCACTAGCACGGAATGAAGAAACGATGGCCTTTAGAGATAGATGTTAAGGTGCTGAACTGGAAGCACGTCGAGGAATTGGTCGACAGAGATCTCGGTGCGAGAGAAGGTGGTGCCTTTCTGCACAGATGATGAAGGCTCGAAGAACAAAAGATGACCTTTGGTGCGGTGGCCATTATCTATCAAACTCCCACCTCTGTATCGCAACGCAACAAATTCTTCCCTTCCCTGTTATAGATTTTGGATGGATATCTTATTTGTTGGCATCGACTCCATTATCATCACAGTAAAACGCCGACTTCTGGGTCAGCAAAGGGAAATAGTTTTGGTGGGTCATCTGGATTTTGCTTGAGGTTGAATGAGATAAAACACATATTGTATGATGATATTGTACGTCATCAGTATGATTTTTGGGCTGTGATTGACTGTACAGATTAATAAGTATACCTATAGCAAAATAATGTGAACATATCGGGAGTAAGTGGTTGCACATGATGTCAAGAGTAACCATGATTGATTGACTCAATAAAATTGTAACCTGTCCCCTTTCTCATTTCACTTGTTTCCTTGTATTATCTAATTTTCATGGACATCTCTGTATCACCAATTTCATAATAGAAGCTTGATGCCTACAACAACACCGCAGGATTGTCTGGGTCGAGCTCCAGCAAAGCTATTGCAGCTCTTCTTCCTACTTTCTCATTTCAGTGTACTATACAATTACGCAATAGGGAGCTCCACATTACTGAATCACCCTTAACTGGTGAGCATTTTAGCAACAATTTTGCTTCCTCTAACAAGCCTCTTGTCTAGGTAGACAACATGGATGGTTTCCATTGATTCAAATATTAATTGCCCTTCTCTCACCAAACCTGAGTGACTGCAACCCATTAACACAGACAAGAATGTTACAACATCTGGCTTCAGAACCTCCTGGATCATGGTTTCAAGCATCTTGAGGCCCTCTCTACCCATTCTATGTCGAGCACAGGCATATATCAAATAGTAGAAAGTTACACCATTTGGGTCAACCCCAAATTTGATTTCATCTTCAAGAGAATCCTAGCACCTCATATGATTGACCCAATTGACAGAACCCACAAAAATTCCACGTTGCTAAACTTCTACTAGGCAATTCATTGAACAACCACACAACAGGTTTAAGATATGAAGCTTGCAGGTATAGATCAATTAGTGCGGACCCAACAAACAAGTTTGCATTGAACCCAAGCAAAACCACTCTGCAATGAACTTGAAGGCCTTCTTGGTAGAACCCAGCATCACTGCAAATACCCAAAACTGAAGAACATGTGGACGGGCTTTCTCTAAGGCCTTGAGAAACCATTTCTTTGAAGAGATCAAGGGCCAGCTTTGGAAACCCATGGTGAGCGTGACCAGCTATTACCAAGTTCCAGGAGATGATGTCACAGACGGGCATTGCTTCAAATATCTCAATAGCTGAATCAAGACGGCCACATTTGATCAAGTTATCGATCGTTCGGTTGCGGGAGAACACAACCACATGATAACTTCCATCCAGCTCCAATAAAGCAGAAAAGAAAGAAGCTCAGGTTGTTGTTTCTGGTATAACAACGACGACAATCGATCGGGCAAAACTTAATAGACTTCTTGTTTGCAATTGCATTGCCTGCAATTGCAAGCGCCTTTGGTTTTGATTTTAGCGGATAGGTTGATAAAGGAAATTAGATTATATTTCAAGGGTATTTTTGTCTTTTCATGTGCCATTTAACGACTGATTAATGGTAGGTACTAAGTTGTTGCATTTTGAAAGTTCGGGTATTAAATTGTCGCATTTTAAAGTTCGGATACTAAATTGGCGCTCGACATAAAGTACAGGGTATCTATCGAGAATTTTCCCTAATAAATACTAGTATAAATGCACGAGAGTGACAAATAATGTTACTTTAGTTTATTTCAGGTATTAATTTGCTTCATTTATATTACAAATAAACAAAATCAGACAAAAATATGAAAAAAAAAATTAGAATTTGCACTCTCAAACTTTTGCATCAGTGCAAATAAAATTACATTGCAAGCAAGCCATGTCTTGGTGATTACTGATTCCATTTGTGTTGATCAGGTCAATCGTGGGGTGTATGGGAATGGTTATAAACTGGGATCGACCATGTTAGTTAGTAGGTTTTTAGCATGGTAGTGTTTCATAATCATTCCGTTTCACAAACTTGCTACATCATAAGCGTTCCGTTTCCCAAGACAGTCCTGATGATTAATTGAGTTATCGGGCCTGATACTTACGGATCCCTATGAAGAATTCCCCAAAAGCAAATGAATAGTGTTTTTCGTTTGAAGATTTGAAAACTATATTTTATACTGCCAGGGGTAGAGCAGGAATTTTTTTTTTATGAATGGGGTGGGGGGTGGGGGGGATAAAATATAGTTGGCCGGTGGAGATTGAGGGGAAGGGGAAAATATACATGAAAGAGTGGGGATCTGGTAGGGGTGTTCACGGTTTGGTGGCTAATTTTTGAAATTGAATCGGGGTTATCGGTTTTTAGAAAACCAGTAATTGAAATTGAACCGATGCCGATCAATTAACCAGTTAACGGGTTTGATTCGTCAATTTTTTTGGCTTTTTATTATTTACAATACTTATTAAAGAAAATATAAATATATAATAAAATACTAGAAATATATAATATTATATTTTAAATAGTAAATAATAAATAATATATTATATATTATAAATATATATATTTTTATATATAATGCATATTTATTAATTGATAATGTATAGAAAATATAAAATATATATAATATAAATATACATAAAATATATATAAATATATCGGTCAGTTCAATTAACCATCAGTTTTCTATTTTAGTTAACCGAAATCAAACTAGTGCCTCCGGTTTTTTTAAATATTAAATCAAAACCGAATTAATCGATTTAATTAACCAAATTTTTGGTTCGATTTCGATTAGTTCAGTTTTTCTTTTCTCACCCCTAGCCATGGGTCCCCTAGGTCCCCCAACTCCATCTGCATATAGGGGAAATAATTTTGGTTGTTGGGGGCCAACAACCTAAACCTAGGCTGTTATGAATGTTCTTGGGCATGACAGGTTAGCCCATTCAGTCCCCTAATTGCCTTTTTGATAAAAAAATATTGAGGCCAATTACTCTTTTACCCTGCATCCATGGTAACATGTCATGCCCAAGAACATTTCAACAACCAAAGTTTTCCCCATCTAGGGCAGTCAATTGGAATGTGTGAGTCCGAAAGTCCGACTCCCAATCCAATGTTCACAATGAGTCAGAGTAAATTTATAATATACATATTATATAATTGTATATATTTTTATATTTAAAATTATTTTATATGTATAAGTTAAAAATAATTAACTTTTTCTATGCTTTAATTATTTCTTTCTTTTAGAAATAGTGAAGCAGACTTGTATTAAATCCAAATTCCATCCCGAGTCTGATTTGAGACTCCTAGATCCAACTGGCTTTATATCGAATTCAGATTTAAGTTTTAAATAATTGAATTGGTCTTGAATGTGGTATACTGCCATCTTCAGGGATGTAAAATGGGTTAACTTATTCCATTTTGGTTTTAATTTGATTAGGCTCAGTTTGGAAAGAATATAAATGTGTAAGTACATAAAAAATATAAGGTTTTGCATTTTATATATTTGCATTTGTATTCTTATCGGCTCAGTTTGAAAAGAGTACAAAGTGCAAAATCTTGTATCATTTGTATCTTTGCATTTGTACAAATATAAATATGTATAATATAAATATATACAAAATATAAAGTTTTACGCTCTTCATATTTGTATTTGTACTCCTTCCAAATGGAACCTTAGTGTTTGCTTTCATAAAGTGACAATACCAAAATCTGTTGATTTTGGTGGAGGAGCTCTCCTCACTTCTAGGATGAACATTAGCTTGCACCATCCACCACTACTTCCATCAGTCAACAAAAGAGGAATCAACATTCACATTTTTAAAGGATAAATTTTGCAGCCAAACAAAGTGGCTCTAGCACGGTTTACAAAAGACTAATGCATGCACTATTGATTAAGGAACAATTAGCTTTTTGTTTCTTTTAGGCTCTATTCGTTTTTCGTTAAGTTACTTATCCGGGTAAGTTTTTCCTGTAAAACATTTATTCAGGTAAGTGCATTTTTACTCATGTTCTTTTATTTATTAGGTAAATAAGGCAATGACCATTTTAGCCATAGAAATCCATTATTAAAAGGGGCATTTTGTCCCATTCATGTGTTGGCATATTATGGGCCCGTGCGTAGGATCTCATCACGGGTCGGTCCACGGGGAGAAAGCCCTGCTTTCCCTTGCGCCTTCCCTTGCGTGCAGACCCTATTGCGGAACTGAATGGGTGATTTGTCCAAGAGACCACCCGAACTCTCCATTGGGGTGATTTGTCCAAGAGATCACCCAAACTCTCCTCACTCTTTCCTTGACTGGAAACTGAATGCCTTTATTTCAATTCGTAGCTCCTTAAATAGGAAATTACAAAAGGAAATTCTTAATTAAACTCAAACTCCAACTTGAACTCAAATTCCTAATTACCTACTCATAATGGTAACACAACTTTTACTTAAAATAAGATAAGGATAAGGATAAGGGATAAGGAATGGTGTAGCTGGCGGCGAGTTGGCGGGCAGAGCTGATGTGGTAAGATAAGTGTGGCCCCACCCTGATGAGCTGTCATGTGGGCCCCACCCTACTGCTGCTGGCGGGCGGTGCGCACGTCTCGCAATGCTGCTGTCGTGAGGAGCGTGCTGCTGTCGTGCGGTGCGTGCTGCTACCGTGCTGCGCGTTGCCGGGAAGGTGCGTGCTGCTGGGTGGCCCGCTGTGTGTGCCGCTGCCTATGACTGTGCTGCAGTGCGCTACCGGTCGGTGTGTCCATAACATCACACCCCTCCTGGACTACGAGCTTGTCCTCATGCTCGAATTCCGGATACGTGGCTTGGAACTCTGCGAATGGATCAAACGATTGCACACTATTTCTCAGTCCACCAACAGTATGAACAACAGGGGCTGTCCCGTAGCTCAGTGCATAAGGCTGGTTGCATTCTTTTGCATCAATCCCATTTATGATGCCCTTTAGCTTCTAATCACACTCATTTATTATTTGATGCAGACCCCAACCTCCTTCTTTAGTTTTCAGCCCCAGGCGTAACCATGGCTTACAATGACTACACGATCTGCTGCTTTCAGGCCAGCTACAAGGACCTTGAAGTGTTCCCCACCTCCTGGGTCGTGTAGTTTGAAGTAGTTTTGTGGAAGGTCCACATAACGAAAATCGCGTATTGGACCATGACCCCGATGTGCTATGTTGTGGATCAGAGGGACGCACCGGGTATACTTACAGAAGAGAACCTCAAGAGCAGCCTTACAGAAGCGAACCATGCGTTTTCAAATATCCCCTCGGCCTCCCCCATATATATTGTGGAACATAGGGCTGTCTATGAACACAAAATCCATGCCATCAATAAGCTTGAGAGAAAGTTACCTCCATATCCTGCCCATCCACCTTATATCTCTTGCACACTCCTGTTTCTTGGATTTCTGCATAGTTACCATCCCCGGCCAAAGGATGAGACTTTACAGTTTCATCCTCCGTGCGCTGGTTACGAAAGAATTGCTCGGAGCGTACAACCATCCCACTGGGTCGCCGCTGCCGCTGTGTGAGGAAGACTCCAAACGGCTATCCTTGGCCATAATAGCGGCTGTCGGGGCAGCGATCTGCTGTTCGCTGGATACCTCCGCCCAGTCCGAATGGCGACTATTTGTGTTGGCGATTCCCTAAGAACTCCCTTCCTTGTTGGAGAAGAATGCTTCCAGTAGGCATCGCAGCTCCCAGACATCTTCCTTGACTTCACGAACCTCCATGCTGGTTTCTGCTAACCTATGTTCCAGTTCGTTGACATTGAATGATAGCTGCTCCATATCGCCCGTGACGTTTGGCTCTGATACCAAATGTTATGGGCCCGCGCGTAGGATCTCGTCACGGGTCGGTCCACAGGGAGAAAGCCCTGCTTTCCCTTGCGCCTTCCCTTGCGTGTAGACCCTATTGCAGAACTGAATGGGTGATTTGTCCAAGAGACCACCCGAATTCTCCCTTGGGGTGATTTTTCCAAGAGACCACCCAAACTCTCCTCACTCTTTCCTTGACTGGAAACTGAATGCCTTTATTTCAATTCGTAGCTCCTTAAATAGGAGATTACAGAAGGAAATTCCTAATTAAACTCAAACTCCAACTTGAACTCAAATTCCTAATTACCTACTCATAATGGTAACACAACTTTTACTTAAGATAAGATAAGGATAAGGGATAAGGAATGGTGWAGTTGGCGGCGAGTTGGTGAGCAGAGCTGATGTGGTAAGATAAGTGTGGCCCCACCCTGATGAGCTGTCATGTGGGCCTTGCCCTACTACTGCTGCCGGGCGGTGCGCGCGTCTCGCAGTGCTGCTGTCGTGAGGAGCGTGCTGCTGTTGTCCGGTGCGTGCTGCTGCCGTGCAGTGCGTGCTGCTGCCATGCGGTACGTGCGGTGCGCTGCCTAGCTGCTGTGCGGTGCGTGCTGCTGGGCGGCCCGCTGTGCGTGCCACTGCCTATGACTGCGCCGCAGTGCGCTGCCGGTCGGTGTGTCCATAACATGGCAACTTTCCCTAGTCCCCACAATAAATTGAAAAAAGAACATGGTCAATGGGAACCAAAATCCTATTGACTAACTTTCCCCCCTCTCCAAATCCCAAAAAAGAATGCCCCCTTAATGAAAAGATACAAAATAAGCTGATTTAACTGAGAACTTACCTCGCCACATTAATCTATCCTTCCCTATGAAAGGACGGATCTCCATTTTCACGAATTATACTTGCATTTAGAGCATTGAAGTGCTCATGAACTTTGTTATTGATCGACCTATGGACTATGGTGTTGCTGATCAATAAGGTCGCTAACCCATCTAATCCACGGATCATTTCATATATGTAAATTTCTCCCATTTTTTATCTTCCAGCATGCACCCTTTTAGAGAACACCCTTCCCAATTAGCAAAGTTTTGATTCCCCAAGAGCAATTCGAAGGAGGTTTTAAGGTTCAGAAATTTTTGTGTTTCAAATATTTCCCTTCTATTAACTTAACCAAATGACTAGTGTTGGAACAAAATCTTTAAGCCAATTTGGCTAATAGAGCTAAGTTGAAGGTTTAAGGGTTTCTAAAATCAAGTCCCATGCAAAATTTGTTTTTACACATTCCTTCCCAACTAATCCAATTTATCTTTTGATGATCATTGGAATCCCTCGTTAAGGGATAATAGGGATTCTTTCTAGGTAGGAATGGCAACAGGGTGGGACGGGGATGAGGAGCATCCCTGCCAATAGGGGTAAGGTTATCCCTATCCCTGTGGGGATCCCCACTCCCTATGATTTTTTATAATGTTAACCATTTTGTTATCATTTTTATTTTATTTAAAAATTTAAAAAGAAAATAATTAAAATTTACAATCCTATTAATAAATATTCAAACATATTCAAATATATTTTTAAAAATAGTAATATATAGATGTATGTATACATACATACAATATATAGACATATACGTACATATATAAATATATATTAGCGGGGATCCCATGTGGTAGGATCGGGGTCCTCGCGGGGTGGGGAGTGCTCTCCCCATCCCTATCCCATCCTTGCTAACGAGGATGAAGATTTCTCCATCCTCGTCCCTGTAGGGGAAAAATTATCCCCATCCCCTATTTATAGGCACTAGTCTTGCACACAACTCTTTCATATATGTAATTAAAAATACTTCTTTTAGTTTTACCCATGTAAGAAGGAAGACTAAGGGCCTGTTCGTTTGCTCTGAAGTCTGGCATCTAAAAGTGCAATAATTACATTAAGAGGTATATTGGTATTGGTGAACTTTTTTTTTTTCTATGAAATTTGAATGCAAAGAATGTGGTTCTGAATTTTGAATTTTGAATTCTAAAAATCATCAAATATCCATTTTGACCCCACATATGAAACTTTTTGGGAGTATCATTAGAAAACAAAAAATTGTATGTTTGCACTTTAAGAGATAAGAGATAAGAGGAAACAAACAACCATTTTCTCTTAAGTTAAAAGATTCCTCTTAAGAGATAAGATTTAAGAGGAAACGAACAAGCTCTAAGGCATGAGTAAGGCTTAAAGGCTTATTTACCACCACCACCACCACTGTCATCATCCATGCCTTGTCCCAACTACATGGGATTGGCTACATAATTCATATTTTGTCAATCTATTTTATTTAAAGTCATCTCCATTGTTAAATTGTTAGTGCTTAAATAATTTCTTATTACTTCTACCCATGTCCTTTTTGTTATACCCTTCGCTCTTCTATCCCCTTAATTAATGTGCAATAAATCGTTTATTCTAATTGGTACAATTGGTGGTCTTATATGCTTGTGCTTAGACCACCATAGCCTACTCTCACTCTCATTTTATCACCTATTGAAGTTACTCATAGGTTCATATGGATAACTTCCATTCATCAATCTTAGCATTCACATTATTGCCACTTTCATTTTCTAAACATGTTTTTTGATTGTCAAACATTTTTGTCCTTACAACATAGTTGGTTAAGGCTTACTTACCTTCTTTATGCCAATGACCTAGGACACTTTTTTTTTGCAATTTGAGATACAAGTTTGAACTCTGAAAGATTCAACTTTTGACCTCAAGCTTCCTCATACTCCTTCAAGGGATTCATAATCATCAATCCTTCTAAGACATTGGCTCTAGAGAAGATGTACGAGTCATTTGCATAAAAAAGGTGAATGATAATAGGGCAATTTTGATTTAACGGAATAATGGAGATGCCACTTGTGTTATGTAGGTTTTGGAGATACATAGATGGGAATTCAACATACAAGAGAAAATGATAGGGTGATAGAGGTTCCTTGCCTCGGGCCTCTATATGGAACAAAAGTTTTACTTAGGCTATTGATGTATCGCGATCTATCTGCTCTCACGTGTCTAATGACTCGGACGCTGATTCAGATGCTAGACTCGTTAGTGGCCGAGTTGTGTTAGGCCGAACTAACGATGGTCGAACTGTATTGTTCTACAAGAGAGGTAGGATTAGAGTGCCTAGGTTGTTTTTACCCAGGGTGGGCACTCCGATGCTTAATTCAGCGAACTGTATTGAGAGTTCTTAAGAGATAAGAGAATGTGAGAGCTCAATCGCACATACCTTCTCAGGTGAAAATGAAGGCTTTATATAGATGTGAGTGGCCTGAGACCTCTTGCAACGAGTCTTAGGTTATCGCGGAGCCATTTCCGTTCACTCGGGAGAATAATTACATTGGTTACATAATTTGTGCAAGGGTTGCGGTTCGTTCGATTAACTTTGATGCGTGCAATGCTAGGCCAGCCCAACGGTTGACTCATTAGTACTCCAAAGATCTCGGACTGGCAATGGATCTAATGAGACAAGTCAACAGGCTCGCCCTGCAGGTCACCAAAGGTACTCCTTGTAGCTCGGCCGGTCTCTGAAGTAGGTCGCTATTTGTTGGAAGACTTATTAGCCTGGCCTGGACGAGGTATTTGAGGTCAGCTTGGGCAAGGTGCTACAGGCCGACTTGCTGGGGTGATCTGCTTACTCAACGCCGATGTATCACTTGAAAGTCATGTATCACGATGTAATTCGGAAGACCAAATTACCCCTCATTAGCTACCATTTACTATAATTTAATAAAAAATTGGAGAAAATACATTGCAGATCCAATCAATGAACTTAGACGCAAGCCCCAATTTTCCCATCACCTCTTTAACAAAATACCATTTAATTCTACCGTAAACTTTATTCATGTCCATCTTTATTTTCACAAAACTTTGTTTTTGCCTAGCCATCTTTATAAAATGTATAATTTTATGTGATGTTAAAATATTATAAAAAATAAGTCTATTGGATAGAAAAGCATTTTAGCTCAAATTAGTATTTTTTTGTGATGATGGTTTTTAACCTTACTAAAATTTTTGCAATTATTTTAAAAATAGTATTACATAAATGGATAGGTATGAATTGAGAGGCATCTTCTAGATCCTTGTGCTAAGAGCCCGGAAAAAAAATCACCGGTAGCTAGAATAATATCCTTCTCAATTATTGCCCAATACTTTTGGAAGAAAGAATTGGGAAAACCCTAAAAAGCTTCTGTTCTCATTAAGACCTCTTTGAATTTTAAGGCTTATTCTTATCCTCTATGACATTTATTTTCTTGTATGTTGTACCCAAATTTTATTTTTGTTCTTTTGCTTTTTTTCTTAGCTATTTGCAGCCAAAAAGCACTTCTCAAAAGCTCACTATAAAAAAAGCTCCTTTATTCATACCCCTTGATGGAATCCTCTATTACATATTTTTCCTTTTATGTCATATCAAAATTTTATTTCCGTTTTCCTTTACTTTGTTTCTTAGGTATTTGCAGCACAAAAGTACTTTACAGAAGCTTAATATGAAAACAAGCTCCTTTGTTCATCCCCCTTCACAAGTATCTAAAAGAAAGATGGAATCCACCTGTGAAGCCCTACACCTTTTAGGCTTTGTCACATGCAACAGTGGGAAATAGAAAATAATGGAAGAAGGAAACTTGTGCTGGTCATACCAACTTCAGCCATATAAATCAGACCCCTTTGCTTATGTGCTTCATGGTTTTAACTATTTAACTTTTGGGAATGGTTGGAATTAAATCCTGTTTTATCGTAAGATTGTTTCTTAGCTTTCAATCAGAGATTGCTCATACAGAGGGTAAGCTTCAATCAGTTGCGTTTCCTGTTCTGATCTCTCTCTCTCTCTCTCTCTGCTTTTCGATATGTTTCTTGCTTTCTGAATCACCACCCTTCACCACTTCTAGTGTTTCCATTGCTTTGAAATGTTCTAGTGTTCTTGTTTTTCAAGGAACGATTGATTCTGTTACTTCTAAATTCTAAGGGATGTTTTTGTTATTTCCAGGAAATCGAAGGAGGTTACGCACATTACCTCAAGAACGAGGGATGCTTTTTTGCTTTTGTATGAATTATGACCATGTTGTTGTTGGTTTCACTTTCACTCACCGTTAACGATAGACGACAGTGTTCTTGTGCTCTGGTGTGTAAGTTCTTTTTTAGATTATATATATTATATATACAGCAGTGCTTAGTGCGCATTCCTGACCTTTATGCTTACGTGTACCTGCAAGCATCCTTTAGTGCTCACGTGTAAGCAGGGGTGCGCAATTGCGCAGAGGCGTTCGTTAGTATTTCGCGCTTATTTTTTGTTCAAGTTTCAACCGCTTTCGTCGTCCACTTCAGGGAGTTTAAAAAATGATCTAAATCAGAAATTTGAACTCCTCTGCGGTATCGTGAATCGTGAGCTTATCATTGTTGATGGATTTGCGAAATCGGCTCTCGCACTCTCTTTTCCTCTGCAAAACCGCTTCCATAAATTGTCTGAAACCGTTTTACAAATCCAAGCGACGAATGATAAGCTTATTGATGATTCCGAGCTCTGCAAAACCGCTTTTGACATTTCTTCCCCGAAATTCAGCTCTGCTTCCTCTTTGTTTGAAGTGAAGCCACTGACAGTTGAGAAGAGTCTGACACTGGTTATTTGTTTTCTTTTTTTTTCTTTTTATTTGATTCTTTCTTTCCGATCCGGTTTGAGTGGTGCGGAAGCAAAACACCTTTGCTGCTCTGTTGTTTCTCGTCCACCGAGGTTTGGGAGAAACTTGCACAGCTTTGACGACCAATTAGGGTTTGGCGTCACTGCAAGTGGGGAGGAAGCTGTTGTTCTTCACGGAGAGCGCGAATAGACCGAAGACTGAAAGGAAGTTCGAGCGTGTGTTGTCTCGTGAGACTCGTGAAGATGCCTCACCGGACTACCTATTTCTTTCCGAGGCAATTTCCAATACAAGGAAATGATGCTTCGTTCAAGCTGTTACACCCGGATCACGAGAATAAGGATTCGAAAGGAGCTGGTAATGTCGAAAATGACGGAAAAGATCAGAAGTTCGCCAAGGAGACCAAAATTGGCAAGAATCTAGCTGCGCCAGATCTTTTCACGGGCGGAAGTCTTAAATTTGGGAAGCAACTTGCGGCTTTCGGCGATTGGTTGGCTGATAGAAAGGTAGATCGTGCCGTTCACGAGAACCCGAAATCTTGCGATGAGGACAGGCGGCTCTTGCTTCAACCGGAGCAACCGCCGGAGACGATCGTCATCCAGGATCTGGTTCCTGGCCGGCAGGTGTTGTCACGTCGGCTGTCGAGTGATAGTAGTTATTCCGGAATCCTGTTCTCCGGGGCCACTGTTGACGAGAATGTCTCCACGGATGCAAAGGAGTCGCAGCTGTCAAGCAGGCAGGAGGACGACGAGGAAACCAGAGAGGTTTTAGCACAAAAGTCACGGGAAAGCTACTATTTGCAGCTTTCGCTCGCTGTTCGGCTCACGTCTCAAGCATCTCTGGCTGACGGACCCGTGTTTATTCAAGATACAGAGACCGCCGGCTTTTCTTCTGATATGGAGGCCGTTTCTTATCGCCTCTGGGTAAGCAAAGTCTTGTTCTTTCTCCACCTCTCCCTACTTCTACAAATGAATTTCTGCGATAACTATTTGTCTCTGGTTCATTTGTCTTAGTTGTTTCTACTTTCGACCTAGTAATTCCTAGAAGTTTTTTCGCTGCTCTCTTGGGGGGTGGCGGGGTGGGTTATTGGAAATGAATGAACTAATTGGTGGTTATTTGAATTAGCTCTAGTAGTTTAGTGTTGTCTTGATATTGGATTGGAGAAATTTTGTCTGGTTTAGTGGAGATCGGCGGAACTAGTGTAAGAGTAGCTTGAAATTAATTTTTTTCTTATTTGCAATTTCCTTGGAATCATGTTCTATTTGTCATCTTATGGACTGGAATTTGAGATACTTAAGCATTTCATTTTTCCTGCATTTTGCAGGTAAGTGGATGTTTATCTTATTCCGACAAGATATCAGATGGGTTTTATAACATTCTGGGGATGGATCCGTATTTGTGGGTGATGTGCAATAAGTTGGAGGAAGGTAAAAGGCTACCATCTTTGGTTTCGCTTAAAGCTATTGATCCTAGCGATTCATCAATGGAGGTTGTGCTTGTTGATACACGTGGAGATTCACGCCTCAAGGAGCTTGAGGACAAAGCACAAGAACTTTATTATGCTTCAGGCAACACCTTACTATTGGCAAAGAAGCTTGGAAGACTTGTTTCTTTCTACATGGGGTAAGTCTTAACTACTGCATCACTAGAACTGATTTTTCTTGATTCTCTGTTCTATGCTTACTTTGTTTGAATTTGAAGGGGTGCTTTTCCAATGGAGCGGGGTGATCTTCACATGCACTGGAAATTGATTAGCAAGGGATTGAGGGATTACCAAAGGTGTATTCTGCTCCCGATTGGCAGCCTATCTATGGGACTCTGTAGGCATCGAGCTATTCTTTTCAAGGTGATGTACCTTCAATTGGTGTATTCCAGTTTTTACCTTTTATGACTTTTATTCATCTTAATTTTCATCCATAGTTCAGATTTCAAGTGCCTAGCTAATATTAACTCTCTAATATATTGTTTTGAACTGCAGTATGATAACTTCTGATGAAGTATAAAAGCTAAAAGATGATTGTTTGAGCATAATATTGCATGAGGCTGTGGAATGTTGATACATTCACTAGATAACAAGAATACTTGTTTGATGAAAGTAGTTTCTTATTTACCTTATTGCTTGTTGTTTTAAAACCAAAAATGGGAAAATTAAGTAGGTTTGATTAGTTATATGTTGTGCAGTTGAGTGCCAACAATTTGCTTGTTTTAAGTTATTAATATCAGTTCCTTAAAATAATACCACTGAAGCTAATATAAGCCAGTTCCCAAGAATGCTGTTGAAGGCAGTGTGATTGATTTCCTTCTTTGAGGCTAGATGACTGACGGACTGGTGACTGGACATGGACCTAAACTTTGGCACCTTTTTTTTGCACACAGTGACCCCTTGTGGGCATCCTCCACAATATTCTTGTCCTCAACTCAAAACTTTTATCGATCAATCTAGAACGTGGTTCAAATCACTTCTAACACTGATCTTCCGAAAAGGTTAGTAAAAATGTTCTGTGACATTAGCCTTTGAAAATCTTGAACCTCTTTAATTGAACACCTTGCTATTGTTTTGCATAAGAAACAGAATTAGGGATTATTTCTTCCCTTTGTGAAGCAGTCAGCTGTGACAATCAGCATGTTGGCACGAAGTTGAGCACGGTTCATATGATGCAGGCTAATTCTTAATGCTGCAAAATTTTCATTTGTCAATTGAAAATTAAACAAGCCATACTGACAAAACAAATTAAGCAGACCATTTAATTACACACAACTAAAGAGAGTTTCCTTGATTTTTAGATCATATAATGGCTATAATTTGCAGCAGTGAGTTTACAGCTTTGAAGCTTTAGTGCATCTGAATCTACCTTTTAGGCCTTGTTTGTTTGCAGTGCAGTTTCATTTGCACTGGTGCAAAAGTATGGGAGTGCAAATTCTGGTTTACTTTTGCAATAGGTTTTACTTTGTTTTGTTTGTTTGCAGTGCAAGTGAAGTAAAATAAAACCTGAACCAAAGTAAAGTAAATTCAGATGCTTAATGGAATCTGAGGCACTTAGCTCGATAAAGGCACCTGCATATCCTATTGAGCTCATTACATTCACCTTCTTCAAAATATTCTCATTTCACTATATCCTATGAATAGAGAGTGAGACATTTCAGGCAGATTGAAGGGTATTAACAAAATAAAAACCAGTGAAGTTAATGACTAATATATTCAAGCATGCATTGAAGAAAACATATTTCTTTTGTCAATCATGACAAAACAATAATTTTCTGTTTGTAGGATGCTAACTTGAACAGTGAGGATATGATGTATGTTATATCCTGTTAATGCCATCTATTGTGTGGTATATGATCCTGATGGTTGTTTTGCTTATTGATATGCAGAAATTGGCTGATTATGTTGGCCTGCCTTGTCGAATAGCCCGTGGTTGCAAATATTGTGTAGCAGATCATCGGTCTTCTTGTCTTGTAAAAATTGGGGATGATAGGCAATCATCAAGGTCAGAAATTGCTTTCCTTTGGGGGGTCACAGGAACTTTAAGAAACCCATAAGTTCTGGAAACCCATGAACTTTAAGAACAGGCTTTTCCTTTTTTTTTTGGGGGGGGGGGTGCTGTTCTACGTGAATCACTTGAACATTCTCAAATATGTTATTGTGTATCCTGTATTCCAGTTGTTATCAGTTTTAGTAAACTGGATAATTTTAAAGATCATTGGCATTTTTTATGCTTTCTCTTCTTTTTTTTTTCAATACTTGCATTAGCAACAAATATGTTAAATTTCTTTTTGTTGTATGTCACAAGTTTTTCTGGATTCTTTGCTATGAATAATGTGAACATGCTTTCCTTCTCCATTGCATGTTTTCTGCCTTGTAATTTCTATTATGTTCTTTAGATTGTGATTTGTTGAGGACATTATGAAAATTAGATAATGAAATATTGGAGGATTAGTAATGTAGGACAAGAAGGAGAAAATCTTACTGAGGTGAACGTGGTGGAAAGAAGAGGGAGAATTAAGGATTTGAATTATGAGTGGAAGAAAGAAGAGAAAGAGAAGAAATAGTGCACTTTTAGAAGAAAAAGGGAGAGAAGAGAGAAGGAAGAAGATCACAATATTATCCATAGGTAACCTCAAGATAAACTTTTCATTCCATTAACTCCATCCTTCAAATTCAATTATGATGACTCTGTTTATAGACTAAACATGAAAGCACAGATCTTCCTTTATAGACTCCTATTTCAACTATAAAAATGACCTAAAACAAACTCTAACTTTAAAACTGAGGAATCTCAACAACTAACCCACAAGGACACTCAAATAAGGACTCTTAACTCCTAAAGCAACTCTAAGGCTCAGTGTGGAAGGAGTGCTAATAGAAATATGTAGAGTGCAAATCCTTGTATTTTGTATTATTTTATATATATTTGTACTGTACATATTTGTATTTGTACTCTTTCAAAATTGAGTCTATGGCTCAGTTTGGAAGGAGTACAAATACAAATATATAGAGTGCAAAACCTTGTATTTTGTATGTATTTGCACTGTACATATTTGTATTTGTACTCCTTCCAAACTGAGCCTAAATAACAATTAGGGGTGCCAATTGGGTGGGTTGGGTTCGGGTTAAGCTTCAACCCAACCCATCTAACCCATCAACCCATTAAGGACCCGTTAAGATAAAATTAAATGGGCTGGGTTCAACCCAAATCTGCCTTAACCGAATCCAACCCATCCAATCCATTAATCTTTTAATTCATGGAGACATACGTAAATTGTAGAAAAAACATACAAAATGCAAAAAATAACAAAAATCATAGAAAAACATAGGAGTTGAAGAAAATAACAAATTTTGCAAAAAAAAAGGAAATTAAAAAAAAAAATAAATTGCAGAATAATAATATAAATTACAAAAAATTACAACATAAATTGCACAATAATAACAAAAAATACAGAAAATGGAAAAGACAAAAAGAAAAATATAGAAATTACAGAAAATATAAAATTATAGATAATCATTAGAAATTATAAAAAAATCACAAAATATGCAGAAAAAACAGATATTATAGTAAAATATAAATAGATGAGAATATATTGTTCTCTCTCTCTCTTTTTGATATATTTTGAAGGGCTACACAACGGGGGTAGCCCATCCTCCAACCCATAACCCCCCAACCCAGGTGCAGGTGGGATTTGATCCCAAGTCTCTGTTATGACCGGCAGGAGACCTTAACCAACCAGCTGGTTGGCACCTTGCACATTGTTCTTTCTCTATAAATATAAAATAATACTGTGTATTAATATTTCAAACACGTTCCAGTGTGATCCTAAGATAGTTTATTTCCCTCTATATAAAAAAAACGGCTTTCGCTGAACCAATGAGCTTCGGGAACTGGGCCAGATTAACAGATAGCATTTAACTTGCTAGTGTTCTTGGAGAGAGATGATGAAGAAAAGTGCAGACTGAGAGAAAATAGGATTGAAGAAGCATGGACTCGAGAAGACGAGAAGTTGACTGCTCACATTAGGAAATATGGCCACTGGAACTAGCATGAACTTCTAAGATTTTCTAGTAGGAAAGCATGCATGGAGATACTTCATCAACAAGAATCTGGTCTTATGCTTCATTTGGTTTTTCATGAATGATTTTTGACATTATTCAACTTTGACTTGAAGAAGAAATCAAGGAATTTCTGCAACTTTTGCTGTTGGCCAGATGGAAGAGGGGCGGGTGAGATACAATGGATAGAGTTGTATCTGGTGATGGAGTGGACAAAATAGTTAAACCATTTGGATCACTGCTCTGAGTTCATGCCGTAACAGTTCTGATTTGCATGGTGGTAATGCTTTGGATTGCTTCTGATGAGTTCATCCTGGTTAGGATTGAGATTATGATTTCTAATGAACAGAGAGAGAGAGAGGTAATCTATGCTAAAAATTTCCTCTAGTTACCATCTTCAACCTCCGATTAGGGTTAGATCTTAGGGGGAAGGGGGAGAGAGAGAGAGAGACAGAAGGGAAGGGGGTGTACAACAAAATACTGAAACGGGAAGGGAAGAGAGTGAAAATCGAAACTGAAAAAATCCCAATTTGTTAATGGTTACCCGCTGGATAACCATAGTCCAACCCACCCGAACCATTAATTTTTTCTTTCTTGGGTTACCCGACCCGTCAATCACACGGGATTAAATGATACAACCCAACCCATAAGCTAATGGTTGGGTTAAAAATTACTACCCCTACAATTAATAATCCTATTAAAACTAACTTATTGTAAAGACACTAGAAATTACTCAAAACAAAACCACAGTTTTACTATAAGTAGCAAACACTTAGAAATTAAATAGTAATTTCATTTTTATTAATAACAGCAAATTTCTATAAGACTTTTTTTTTTAAAATTAAGGTATGATTTATATTAACTGAAAATGTATCAAAGATTACATCAACCCTTGTATACCAAGGCACTGTACAAATGGATGAGCATACAAAAAGTATGCTAATTACAAAAAAAATGCAACTGTTAGTCATTCATTTACAGCATCCACAAAAAAAAGAATTCTTTCCCAATGATTTGTAAACTTCTGCTGATTCATGTCATTTAACTCCTCCAAAACCCTGGCCCATTCAATCAAGCACCTCTCCACTCTCCCAATCAATCTTTCTATCTCTGTGACCTATTAGCTGAATATTCTACTGTTTTGTTCTGTAAGACTTAAAAACGCTACTTCTAAGACACCAACAGACTTGAAAATATATATTTAAGAGACTTGTAAATACTAAATCCCAACGCACCCAAAAGTTATGAAATTGCTGTTGGATGAGGACTTGAAAATAAATTTTAGGAGACTTGTAAATACAAAATTCCAAAGCACCCGAGAGTTATGAAATTGCTGTTGGATGAGGAGTTGTGAGAAAACTGATTTCTTTCTTCGTGGATTTTTTTCCTTGCTTCCATGCCTGCATCAGTTAGTCACACTGGAAACTTGTACGTCTATATTTTTCTTAATTCCAAGTGCATGAAATGCTTATATGTTGTATATGATTTTATAGGTACTTCTAGAATACTATTTCTTCTAATATTATAAAGTTCACTTATGATTCATGCTTCTTAATTCTGTGTTATTATGTTTATGCACACATATATATTTTGGCAGGGAATATGTAGTTGATCTAGTTGGAGAACCAGGAAATGTTCATGGTCCAGATTCCTCAATTAATGGAACTTTACTTTCGCCAGTGCCTTCACCATTCCAAATTTCTCCTAAAAAATTTTTCCAACAATCAATTATCAATAAAACCTCCTGTAGACAAATTCTAAACCTGGAGAGCATCTGCAATCTTCCCAAAGATTCTCGAAGTTCAGGTATTATCTGGTTTGTATACCCAGAAAACATTTTTTAATCTTGTGAGATCTTTGTTTACTATTATTTCTAACACATGTCACATAAATTTCATTGATAAATATTTAATTGAATGAAAGCCTTCAGAAGTTTTGGGCTTGGATACATTACTATGGCAAAGAGAAATTGTAGGAATACAGAAACCCCAACAATCCGTGCATCAGATGATAGAAATACTTCAAGTGATATTTGAATATCTTTGAAATCCAAGTTCTGCATTTAAATGTATGTTGAGGTTGTGAATTGGGGAGTATTATTTATGCCTCCTAATACAGTGTAGGCAATTAAGTAGGGGGCAGAAACCTTTAACAGAATCTGCTTCTGATTGTAGGCGTACTTTGAAGTGGTATCTAGGCAATAGTGTCCAAGCTAAGTTACATTACAGAGTATCATTGAGATTCTGACACTCAGGATTATATGATTTCATATCTTTGCTTTTTTAATCAAACTTTCAAATTATTAAGACAATGCTTCCATCTTATTCATAATTAGAAACTCAGATGCATATGTTGTGTTAAACGTCGGTTCTTCTTTTTCATCCCTAGGTTTGCATGCCCATTGAGATTTATTAGCAGGAGTCAGCACACATGTGGCACATGTGCTCATGTATATTATTCAATAATGATGTGGCGCATATGATATAAACTTTATTAGAATGTGCTTTTTGAATTCTTTGTGAATGTTTGTGCAACTTAAGTTGGAATACACATATTCAATTGTTTACCTACCAAAAAGGTGCAAAATTTTTAAACTAATGATCTTTCCCAAAAAATACAGAAAATCCACTTCCAGTTAATAACTATGGAGATAGGCCTCCAACATGCTTGGATAAAGAAGTCCAATCAATTCATAGCAGTAAATTCGTTGAGGATTTGAAGCTTTCCATATGTGTACTGGGTGATGAAGCTTGTGAAAGATCGGAATCATCAGCAATGCCTTTGGAGTTCAAAGATAACAGTAATAGTTGCATTGAAAGCCAGGCACTGCTGCCTTCTATACAGCACTGTGCATCAGAAACTCTGGATGCTGTTCCAGGAATGTCAGTACATGGACGTTCTAGACTAGATGGAGACAAATCTCCCGTTCAAGAATCTTACAGGAAAGAGTTGGTTGCATATGAAACTCCTATGAACAATGCAATAAAGCAACCTAAACTTGAGGGGTGTAGTCAAATGGAATTGTCAGAAACTGAAAGCAGACCTGAGAATCAAGGTGGTATTGCTACTACCACTATCCCAAGATATTTGAATCTTGAACCTTCTCTTGCAATGGACTGGCTTGAGATATCATGGGATGAATTACAGATAAAGGAGCGTGTTGGTGCTGGTACGAATTTGTTTTTGCTATTGACTTGTAGAACAATCTTTTAAATTTGGACACTTTTTTTCTTATTATTGTTTTCATTCTATTACATTTTCTCATTTACGTGGGGAAATTCTCGGGTGTCCCTGATTGTTCTGATTTTCTTGTTACACTTTGTTATGTAGGTTCATTTGGAACAGTGCATCGTGCTGAATGGCATGGATCGGTTAGTATATTAACATTATAATTTGTTAGTATTAAGTTACTTGTTATGTTGCAGGCTTGCATCTCTCTCTCTCTCATGTTCTGTGGCACTGATGTCCTAGGCAGTTTTGTACCTTTCAGAAGGCAATTCATTATTTCATATTGCATGTGTTGTCCAATTTTAGTATATTGTACATTCTAATTTATTAATACCTTTCAATAATCATGCTTCCTCCATAAACCCTTCTATGTACATACTAGAGGTGAGCAAATGGGTAGGTTCTACCTGGAACCGAATGGAACCGACCCTACCCAATCTGTTACAGACTTACAGGGTAGGGTCTGGTTCCAAATTCTTGGAACCGACCCCTATCCAGGTCGGTTCTAGGGTCTAGGGGTTTACCCTACCTGAACCGACCTTGGTTGGCCTTAGTGGAACCGGCCTTGAAATAAACTCCAAAATATTTTTAAGCACATGAAGGTTTGAACTCAAGCACTCATTGTTACAAAAGCCATGGTCTCACTTGACCATTGAGTTACTTAAGTAATTTGATCATTTGTTTTCATTTTAATATTTGAATGTGTATAATAAATAATGTAAAAGGTAATATTTATAAAATTTAAATTATAATATGATAAATTTTGAACCGTATGTAATATATTATAATAATCTACATATTAAGTTACTCAATTTAATCAATAAACATAATGTAAGTTTTAAATTATATATTATCATTATTGAAAATCAACTTTTTAAAGGATATGTTTTATTTTTTTAAGAGGGAGAGTAAATAAAGAACAGGTTCCACGGGTAGACCCTGGAACCGATCTTCACAGGGTAGGTTCCAGTTCCAAAAACTTGGAACCGACCCCTACAGGGTAGGTTCCAGGTTCTGCCATGGAACCAAACCGACCCATGCTCACCCCTAGTACATACATCTATGGATGTACATTTTTCCCCTCCTTTCCTTTTTTTGTATTTAAGGGATGTACTATGATGTATTTTCTTTGGTGACTCCTACCTTCCCATATTTTGTTTATTGAACTAGTTTTCTGGCTATAGTTTATCAAATTTTTTACCGAAATATGAAATGCAGGACGTTGCTGTGAAGGTTCTATCGATTCAAGATTTTCACGATGATCAATTGAAGGAGTTCCTGAGAGAGGTAAGAAAATGGTAAATATGAAAAATACAATTATTTATCATTAGCATCATCTCATCTTCCAAGACTAGTATATGTATTTGGGATTGTCTACGACCAGTGGTTTTATTGTGTCACCTGTCATCCAATATATTCAAGGAAAAATCCATTTTTTTTTTTGAAAAAAGCAAGTTAACTTTATTAGAAACTCTATAATCAAGATACAACAAGCCCCCAAGAGGCAGGCTCCCCAGCCGGGCAAAAAGACCATAATACAACAAGATTACAGCTCCCACAAGCTTCTAGCTCTCATCAAGGACCCGAAGATGTTAGGTTGAAAGCCTTTAGCAGCTGCAACCCAAGACACCGGTTTTCCAAAGGAAAAGGACACCAACTCCTCCACCCCCGTTGACTCTTTGTGAAACACCCTTCTATTCCTTTCATCCCAAACAGTGCTGACCATTGCAGCAGGCAAGGACAGCCAGACACATTGAGTTAACTTCGAGAGACCAGGAAGGCTCCAGCCCCACAGAAGATCCAGGAGATAGCTAGGCATAACTCAGGAAACGCTGACTGCAGAGGGATAGTGCCACCAAAGCCAAGAAGTCACAAGACAAAGCATGAAGAGATGATCTGAATCTTCAAGCCCCTGCCCACAGAGCACACATCATTGATCCAGGACCTGCAGACCCCTTCTAACCAGATTCACCTTAGTGAGGCATGTATTTAGAGTTGCAGCCCAAACTAAGGCATTAATTTTAGAGGGGGAAACAGGCTTCCAAATATTTGAAGCAGGAACTCTATCAAGAGTACAGTTGGCCAGGGAAAGAGCAAAAGACTTCACAGAAGACAGCCCAGCAGCAGTCCCATTCCAGATCCAAGAGTCCACACTAGTGTCTAACCTGTCCAGAGAGCATCTGAAGAAGATCAGCAAAGCTCTCCAGCTCCCAATCTTGAAAGTCCCTTCTAAACAAAGGATTCCAGACCATAGTGATCCCCTGGACATCATAGCATTCAGCCACCATAGCTTCCTGGTCCAAGCTAACTGAAATAACTTTGGGAACAGCTTAGCTAAAGGACAGAAGACAGCCCAGCAGCAGTCCCATTCCAGATCCAAGAGTCCACACTAGTGTCTAACCTGTCCAGAGAGCATCTGAAGAAGATCAGCAAAGCTCTCCAGCTCCCAATCYTGAAAGTCCCTTCTAAACAAAGGATTCCAGACCATAGTGATCCCCTGGACATCATAGCATTCAGCCAACATAGCTTCCTGGTCCAAGCTAACTGAAATAACTTTGGGAACAGCTCAGCTAAAGGACAGTTAGAGCACCAAGGGTCCTTCCAGAACGCCAGCCTACAGCCATTTCCAACTTTTGGCTTGATTCCTATGCAAAAACTAGGGAGGAGGTTCATAATTTTCAATCAAATCAAACAGCCAAAAGAGGGAAGAGAACTAGTAGTTATATACCCAAGCCATATTTAGCGGCAATTAGGCTTCTCCACCAGTAGTTGTCTATCCGAGCCATATTTAGCAGCAACTAAGCTTCTCCACCAGCTAAAGGATAGTCAGAGCCAAGGTTCAAAATTTCGATACGATACACCATGTATCGGGTGTATCGTATCGGTGGCTGAACGAAACACCTTTTTAAAGGATTTTACAGAAACTTAGCCTTTTGTGTTAATTACCCTTAAAACCAACCCCCTGGTGAAAATATCAGAGCAAAAAAATGTAGTATTTTATAGTATCAAAACAGCCGATACGCATGTTCGTGCATATCAGGTATATCGATACTTTAAACCATGGTCAGAGAACCAAGGGTCCTTTCAGAACGCCATCCTACGACCATTTCCAACTTTTGGCTTGATTCCTATGCAAAAACTAGGGAGATGGTTCATAATTTTCAACCAAATCAAGCAGCCAAAAGAGGGAAGAGAACCAGTAGTTATTCAGTCTCCCCTATCTGAGCCATATTTAGCAGCAATTAGGCTTCTCCACCAGATGCCTCTTTCAGTCCCAAACCTCCAAATCCATTTTCCCAACAAGGCATGATTGAAAACCTTTATCCTCCTAATCTCCAGGACTCCATGGTCTTAGGAGAGCAGACCTGGTTCCAATTTACCAACTGTTTTTTTGTCCTCCTCTCGATCCCTCCAAAGAAAGTCCCTCTACAACTTCTCAATTCTTTGAGCCACCTTCGAGGGATTGAGAAAAGGGAAAGAAAGTAAGAAGGGAGATTGGACAAGGAACTCTTCAGGAGTGTAATTCTTCCTCCAAGGGAGTATCCTCCTCCCAACCCCTCCGAAGAAAGTCCCTCTGCAACTTCTCAATTCTTTGAGCCACCTTCGAGGGGATCGGGAAAAGGGAAAGAAAGTAAGAAGGGAGATTGAACAAGGAACTCTTCAGGAGTGTAACTCTTCCTCCAAGGGAGACATACTTTGCCTTCCAAGAGGACTGTTTCTTCTCTAACTGCTCCAAGAAAGGTTTCCAAATCAAGGAAGAGCTACACTTAGCTCCCAAAGGCAGGCCTAGATACATTAGGCAAAAGACCAACTTGGCAAGCAAGAACCTCAGCCAAAGACAACATTCTCCACACTCCCACTGGGATGAGAAGAATTTTGTTCCATTTCACCTTCAGACCATCCACCACTTCAAATCAGAAGAGCACACCTAAGAGAACTTCCATCTGATCCACATTAGCATCAATAAACACAAAGTATCATCAGCAAGTTGCAGCACTTGGACTTTTTCTCTTTCTGGCACCACTTCAAAACCCTCCCACAAACCAGCCTCCCCCACTTGAAAGATGAGTTGGGTCAGAATCTCCATGTTGCAAATAAACATGAGGGGAGAGAGGGGTCCTCCTGATGGAGACCCCTAGAACTTTTAAAAAAAACCAGCTGATTCTCTATTTATCAGGATTGAAACTTCAGGTGATATGACACAGACCTTGATCTAGTTTCTCCACTTCTACCCAAAGTTCATTTTTTCCAGAGTGAAATTCAAACACCTCTAATTCACATGTCCATAGGCTTTTTCCAAGTCCAATTTGCAGATGAGGCCCGGTCTTCCTTCTCTCTTTCTTGAATCAATCAACTCAGTTGCCACCTCCTAGGAACAAAAGCACATTGATTTTCAGACACCACACTGCTTAGCACCTTTTTAAGCCTTTCTGCCAGCACCTTAGCCAAGATTTTATAAAAGCTATTAAGTAATCTGATTGGCCTGAAGTCATTTGATTCGAGAAAAGCCTTTCTGCCAGCTTACTTCTTTGAGCATCATACATTTTGGCCTTCCTATTGACCTTTTACAATTCTATCTTGCACAATTGTACTTCTCATCAGTAACACAGTGCCTACCATTAACATAATGATATATTCCATCTATTAAAAAATTTTGTGATAGTTATATGCATCTGTAACTAGTTGCCATTTAGATTTGTAGTCTTTACAATCTATTTATTTTTGTCTATGTTATAATGAAAACCATATTTAGGATTTAATATTTTTGACATAATCATCTATATATACATACATACATACATACATATATATATATATATATATTCAATTCTAACATTAATGTATAAATAGTACTAAAATTAATGCTCAAAAAGTAGAATTTGCTGATAACAGTTTCAGATGAATGCCTTGTGAAGAAAAGTAGAAGAAGCTGAAAGGTTTCAGCAGTAAAGAAGAAGAAGAGAGTGGGATGTTGCCAGAATTGAATGAGTCTGGCCGCCAGCCCCTCTTGGTTTATATACTTAAAATAAAAGAATGGAAGATTACAGGAATACCCTTAGTAGGGCGGCTACTTTAAGTGGCTGAACAGTCACAACTTAAAATAACATAAACTAATGGGCCTAAGGCCCAATTACTTCCTAACTTAACAACTTAAAAATAAAAAAATAAAAGGCTGGGCCAATAACTTAAAATCGGCCCAACTCAACACAAAACATTTAACACAAGCACACTATTGAGTTATTTTCCTTTTTCTCTGCTTCAACTATCAAGTTTTGACTTGATGACTCCTGTCTGCTATCTCATTCCACCTGGGGGCATATCAACTTTCAAAAGTACATGCCTCTGATAATTTATGTTCTTGTATTTACAGTATGGTAGGATTCATACTGTTCCATATATACTTGGTCATATTGTGCTGGAAAATTTCTACTTTTGTTACATCTGCTGTAAAATTTCATATTGTCCCATATATGTCATGTGAAGATGCTTTTACAATAATGCATATGCATAGAAGGTACAATATATACTGTGAAATAGTGTATTAAATTTTGTATATTTTTTTCACATTCTATCTGTTTCATTGGACTAGGAGGTCATGTCACTTTTGTGCCACCTGTGTTGTTCTCATACTTCTGTATCAGAGTTGTTTTGTTTAATTGCTTTTCACCTGGTCTTCAAAATTTTTTGCAGGTAGCGATAATGAAACGTATTCGCCATCCAAATGTAGTTCTTTTCATGGGTGCAGTTACAAAGCGTCCACATCTTTCAATAGTGACAGAATACTTGCCTAGGTATGCTTGCTATCTTATATATCTTTATCCTTCAGGAATGATGCTTAAATTCTACCCAAAACAGGACTGGCCCTTGAAATGCAACATTTTGATATATTTAGCCTTCTCTAAACTCTAAATCCTTGTGGAACAGGGGTAGCCTTTACCGTCTTATACACAGGGCAGCTGCTGGAGAAATCTTGGATAAAAAGAGGAGGTTACGTATGGCATTGGATGTGGTCAGTGGTGGTTGTTATAGTTGTTGTTGTTGTTATATTTTTTTTTCCCAGCTATGGTCAATCACCTCTATTGTTGGAATAAATTTATATTACTTACTTGATGTAGGCTAAAGGTATCAATTATCTACATCGTCTAAATCCTCCAATAGTTCACTGGGATCTTAAATCTCCTAATTTGCTGGTTGACAAGAATTGGACAGTTAAGGTGGGGATTAACCTCCAACTTTTAGCATTTCATTCTTAGCTTGTTACCAACATATCTTTATATTACAATTCCTGGATTCAGGTATGTGATTTTGGGCTATCGAGGTTTAAGGCAAACACTTTCATATCATCAAAGTCTGTTGCTGGCACGGTATGCATGCTTTAAACTCTCTGGATTTCTTTCTCCTCATTCAGAGATAATGTTCTTTCCATAAATCTAGGACATCCTGTATTTACCTGAAATTTTTCTTGATCCTCTACTGTGGGAACTCTTTTGGCTATAGGTGCCTTAGATGTGTTTCCAGTATGGTTTGAACATTGATTGCTATTATCCAATAATTGGTTGTTGTTAGTATGTAAAGGTTTGGGTTCAAAAGGCAGTAATTTCATGGATTTGCTCCACATTTTCCTCCAACATTTCCATGCATCAGTTGTTTAATCTCCTCTGAACTTTCTACCTGATTTCTGTTTTGATTGGTTGGCTCTGTGCAATTTCCATCTTAATATCAAACTTGTGATTCTTTTAACAGGAAGTTTTGATAGATGTGTTTTCATAGAATTCCATATTCTCTTAGTATTTAGTTACAAATTTTCTTCATAGTGCAATACTGGAATGTAACTCTCTTCCTTCCTGTTTCAGCCTGAGTGGATGGCTCCAGAATTTCTTCGTGGAGAGCCCTCAAATGAGAAATCTGATGTTTACAGTTTTGGAGTGATTTTATGGGAGCTTGTCACCATGCAACAACCTTGGAATGGACTCAGTCCGGCACAGGTATTATAATTGAGCATTTTGGTTCTATTATTTGCCTTTTCTGCTCTTAAGTGATTCATAAGACATGTGTGTGCTGTAGATTACATATTTATAGGTTTCTTCCAGGACTTACATATCAAATTTTCAGGTGGTTGGCGCTGTTGCTTTCCAGAACAGAAGACTTACTATCCCTCAGAATACTTGTCTTATGTTGGCATCCCTCATAGAGTCGTGTTGGGCTGAGTAAGTGTCAGACGCCATGTACCCTATGTACCTTCCAAAAACGTTTCAGTTGTCACACTGAGTTGGTTTCTAGCCAAACATAATAGCACTCTCAGTCGTTCTGAAAATGTCCTGATAAGTTGGAAAAAACATAAGTGCAAAGAGCAGTCAAATATAGAATCTGAATGAGGCAGGGTTGTGTCTGCAACTTAATTACCATGTTTTTAGTTGTATATAATATTCAGAAATGCTTCCTTTTCTATTCATGTTATTCTATGAAATTGCTAATAGTTTTATTTGCTTCAACAGTGACCCTAAGCAGCGACCATCTTTTGCAAGCATCGTTGAAACGTTGAAGAAGTTGCTGAAGTCTCCACTGCAGTTGGTACAGATGGGGGCCCAGTGAGAAGTCACATGAAGTGTTTCACTTTGTAAAGATAAGTAAAAACCTAGAGTAGTTGAATTTGCTAATTTCTGTGGGTTGATTTTGGGGGTTAAATTAACTAGGACTACCTTAAATGGGGGTATCTTCTCTCTATACACCGAAGGGTCTTACTACCACCCCTCTATGGGTTTCGGGTTCCCCTGGTTTTGTTGGTTATTATGAAGCAGTTAACCTTATGCAGTCTCTAATTCAGAGCGGAGCCTCTTCTTATCTCCCAGGATTTTTGATAGGGAGATGAGTCTATATAGTTGCACCCGTTTCTGCTTCCTGGTGACGCAATATATGATATCAGCTAACTATTTTTTCTTGCCAGTTCTGAAGTGCAAGGAAATGTTGTTCTCTTTCAATAATACTTCACCATTCAGTGAATGCCCTTCGTGTGCGTGTGTAATCACAGGGTGTGCTAACGTGTCTGAGCTTGATGTCACTGAAGGACAAATACAGTTGAGCTTTTGCTCGTGTATATCCTTCTGTACATGGAAGCCTGGTTTCTCTTTAGTCTTTACCTTGTGTTCTTTTGACAGTATTAACTGGGATTGAATGTAAAAGAAGATAAAAAAAAAGAAATTTCTTTTATTTGTTTGTTTGCTTTTGCCCCACTGTTTCAGTAATACACTAGGAAAATGCAGAAGTGTTCTGCTTCTGGCCGGTTAGGTTTATGCTTATGCAAATATGTTCCCAAAATCATTCTCTAGCTATAGGTCGTACCGTCGTAGAAAGACTTTGTTTGGGGATGGGCCAAGGGCGATGGGCATAAACATAATGATTTACACCCTCTATCTGCCCTCATCCTGGTCAAGAATCAAGATGGTATATGATTAACTGGTTGCAGGCCATGGCATCCTTGTCTATACCATGACAAATATTGTGAACTGACTGGTTGATGTAATGAAATGAGCTTGGTGATCGTTTAAATCGGAAACCTAATCCCAAGAATCACCTTAACTCTTACGAGTCCTCCAGGCATGCTTTTCACTGAATTCCGATTTGATTTCACTTCATGAATGACGGTTTTGGATGATTTGATCCCCCAACTTGACTCCTCGGCATAAGTTAGTCAAGATGATGAACTGATCACTGCGAATGTGGCTCATGCTTATCAGTCAAGTGACAATCCCTCTATTCAAGCGGTTTACTCCAATTAACTCTTTTGGTCCCCCTCCATATAGTGGATCTATTCATGATCTTTCTGTGATTCTTGCCCAAATTCTACTAGTAGTATCTTCATCTGAGTTTTGTTGATCCTAAATTTTCTTGGAAAAATCTATGATAATGGAAAGACATAGTATCAGAATCAGAAGAGCTTTGACCAATCAAAGCATCCCCGTGAATTTTGTTTGAAACCACCTGATTGATCATTGATCATATCTTTTATGATGCCAGTTGATTGGCTGTGGGTTTTTTTGGTAATATTTCAAACTTAATCCTATTCAAGCAAATCATAGAGATGAAAATACAACACAAGCATATAAAAGAACATCGTCCACTGTTGGTCCCACCTATCTGGCATTTTTGGGTTTTCTTTGTTGTTATTACAAAGTATCTGCCCTCAAACTTGAACCCTTGTCCTCGTGCTTATGAGCAAAAGTATCTACATATATGGGGTGAAAATTTGTGAACTTATTTTATTCGAGTTCTTGAGAGTGTCTTAAACACAGACGTGCACTATCTATAATATATAGATAAAAAAAAGTACAAGTGCCATTCAAAGGCATCACTGATGAGATCTTCACATTGCCCCATTTTAAACCAAGGATTAAAATATGGGTACTTCTGATAGTGGGTATATGCACAATTGCACATCGATATGATCAATACCCTTCAGTTTTACTCTTTTTTTTTTCAATGTTATAAGCATTAGAGGGTACTATCCATTAATTTTTTAAAGTTTTAAATATTTTAAAATATCTTTGTTTCGATGTATCTCTTTGCATCTAGATGCATTGATAGGGATATGATACGTTTGATATGATACTAGGCATATCATAGACTTAACAATTGTTATCTAGTTGTCTTGACATTATTGTAATTTTACCTAATTAAACACTATCCTTCTGATATAATTATATTATAGTTGTACACTATACTTCGATAATATTTTAATCGTTGTTTTAAATTAGTGTTATTTCAGCTTGAAAGAGAAAAATGCATTTCATTTCTTAATTTTGAATAAAGTAGAAATTGTTGAGTTTCTACTTTTTCTTTCTTTCTTATCCTTGGTGTAAGTGGGAATTGATCCCAAGTTTACGCTACAATTAATAGGAGACCTTACTAATTAGCCAGTTGGCAACTTACATTATTGGGTTTTTATTTGGTACTTAATAAATTGTGATTCAAACATTGACGTTGATAACCCTTCTTTTCATTAAAAACTGCTGCTTTGCAAAACACTCCCTA